CGCGCAGAAAATCGCATGGAACAGAAATTGGTTCGTCACAACCCCTTGGGTGGTGCACAGGCAGTGTCTGTAATAGCTTACCTGCGTCGTCCCAAGGGGGTGTATGTCCAGCTGTGTGTCACTCTAACGCCCTGCTGGTGTCCATGGGCAAGGTTGCAAAGTTTTGAACCTGCAACCTTATACCACAATGCGCATTTTGAACTGGTGCTCTAACCACTGAGCTACATCAACTGGACAGTAGATTCAACATTGTGCGTAAGATTTCCTTTTCTGTTTGTTGGGGTTCTTTGGTTTTGGATCCTTTTCTTCAACATAATTGCTCAAAAGGTCATTTTCTCTTCGATCTTGGAAAGAGAGATCCCTGTTGACGATGATGCATTGACTGCGAGCATTACCGCCAGATTCAGTCAAAGGAGTGCTAGTGGAATGCTGGGGCTCTATGTAGATTCGGAGTTTGGTTTTGCCAAGATCCTTGGATGGAGAGCCGAAGCAGTGGCCATTTCGGACTTGGGGCCTCGCTCCACTACTCACCACATGCACAAAAGACACAAAATATGGCGGTGTGTCTTCCCATGTTCTAACAGAAGATTCATTCTCACTTTGCTTATGTGGTGAGTAGTGGAGTGAGGGTCTTGTAGAACCATGGCATGGCTTTAAGTAAAACACCAGTACGGACAAACCTCATTTTCTGATGCAGATTTCTGCCACACACGAAGTTTTGCTGAAAAGGCGGAGTTGCCGCGTCAGGACAAATAGCTGGGCAACCTACTGGTGCATACTGAAGTATGGTTCTGCCAACATTCCTCCAGAGCAGGTTGTGGTCTTGCGGGCCTATCTCAGGGCATACTCACACTGCGACCGCAAATCCGCAAATCCGCAAAATATGCGGATTTGGGAAGGGCAATTTGAAGTTTTGGGCATGGTTCTGGTCAAACTGCTGTACCTTTTCAGATGGGACAAGGCCCTGGCCGTCTGGAGCAACGGCGATTTGGTACTTCGCTGGTTACACAGCACCATCCACAAATTGTGCAAGAACTTTCGCGAACGAATTTTCAGCAATTCTCGAAGAAAATGTTGTGAAAAAATAAATAAGGCATTTGCGGTCAGCTCCAGAGGTGACCGCCAATTCCCTTGCCCCGCGGCTACACTGCGTGTGAACGGCAAATCCAGAGGTTACAGGCCACCGACAAATGGGCACACGAATGGTACATTTAGGACTTCGGCAAATCTGTGTGACCGGTCCTCTACCCTTTTTTAGGGGAGTTTGAGATTATAAGTTGAACAGGGTGTGGTTTTGAAGTTTGAAAAACTGCGCACTAATGAGCTGGTAGTGTGAAGTGTCCACTCAGTCTGGAGGCCAAAAACAAGTCCCCCCCTTCTGCACCCTTTGTGCCAAGCCCTCCTCAGACCACAGTGATTGGGCTGCCTCTGGATTCGTTTTTGACACACCCAAACTGGCCAGCCGAAGTAACTGATTTTCAGGGTTGGTGTGAAAGCAGGTTTGCCAAAACACTGGGTTCAACGAAAAACCCTGAGGTCAGGCGGTTTGGGAGAGGGACGCGGCTAGCGCCGGTAGCGCGGTGGGCCTGCGCTGAAGTGGCGCCAAGCCACCACCGACACGGGCGGGACGACGAAGGACAGGCGCACTCAACTATAGCCGTTGACCGCGGCCTCGTCAAGCGCGACCAAGGAGGTCGACCGTGGGGAAAGGAGGGCGTGAAGGTGACCAGCATCCGTAGCCGGGGTGGAAGGTGGTTGACAGTGGTGCCGTAGAGTGTGGGAACCCGTTAGTGTTTTGGCATAGCCACGAGGGTGGTGGGTTTGATACCACGGGAGTCGGAGGAAGCGTTCCAGGGCGAGTTGGTGGTACGACGGGCATGACGAAGGAGCGCCGTGCAGCATCCTATCCGGCTCCTCATGGGGCCCTTTTTTATTTTATTTTTAAGGCCAATATAGATCTATTAGGGAAGGTGATAGGAGCAGCCCCCCCTAGTAGACCTATGATAGGCCGCTCCATCTATTAGTGGGAAGCTGCACCTGCTGGAAATGGGGCCCTGAGTATGGGAAACCAGCTCAGTGGAGGGTTAGGTAGGGCTGCCGGACAGAAGATCTTTTTTTTTTTTTTTTTTTTTTTTTTTTTTTTTTAAGTCCATGGTGTTGTAGAGGCTAGTCGCTGAGTACACAGTGATCACCTGGAGCAGTAGGCCGTGGGTGTCACCCCCGACATCCCTTACTAAGGAACTGCTATGCCAGCCTCAACCCTTGACTACGTAATAGGAGGAAGACCAGCCCCAAGTTGTGATCTGGTAGCGAACACAGGACCTCATGCGAATTGTACATGAATCGTTATTCTATTGTGTGATGGTAGAGAGCTGGGGATCCTTCGTTCCCTCGTATATCCCTGGAGCCCGTTCCGGCCCCACGATAAGGTGAAGTATCTTCTGGCACTCCCGACAGAAGTCCGTTCCGACCCCACGATAAGGTGCACTATCTTCTGGCACCCCCGACATCCCGTACTACATCCCGTACTAAGGAACTGTTATGCCAGCCTCAACCTCCGTTCCATCGTATATCCCTGGAGCCCGTTCCAGCTCCACGATAAGGTGCAGTATCTTCTGGCACCCCCGACAGGAGCCCGTTCCTGCCCCACGATAAGGTGCAGTATCTTCTGGCACCCCTGGCATCCCGTACTGAGAAACTGGTATGCCAGCCTCAACCCTAAGCTACATACTAGGAAGACATCCAACCTTGAGAATCTATTGACCCTGTGTTGTATGGTAGTCTGAGAGCTAACAATCCTCTGTTCCCTCGTATGTCCCTGGAGCCCGTTCCGGTCCCGTGGTAAGGTGCAGTATCTCCTGACACCCCCGACATCCCGTACTAAGAACTGCTATGCCAGCGTCAACCCTTGACTACGTACTAAGAGGATGACCAGCCCTGAGTCATGATCTGGTATCGAACACACGACCTCACGTGAATCATGCAAATGACCTGACCGATTGACCTATACTGTGAAACAGTTTGTGACTATGCTCTGTTGGGCTCGCGTAAACCAGACTGTACAAATCACCCAGCCGTTTCGTGACCACCCCATACACCAGGAGCATCAGGACACCCCACCCTCGTCCAGTTCCAGGATACAACAACCATGGGCTACCCTGTGACGCCCAACCTCACGCCCGACGCGACTTCCTGATCGGAGTGGGATATGGGCCTGAAAGTGCGAAAAGGGGTGTGCCAAGGATTTTTGGGGAAAGTGGGGGTGGAGTCCCAGGTCGGAACTGAGATCTCCTGCGGCAAGGATTCAGGGGCATAGGTGCAATAGGGCTAAGGGGCGGGTTGCTTCCGGCGGTTGACGTCGTGTAGTCATAAGGTAGATGGTATGCGCGGGGCATTAAGGGCCGTCCGATCCGTCCGTTTTGGGTGACGGTGGTTCGGGAGAGGCCCGTTCGCGAGGGTCGCGATTCCTATGAGTCAGACCTTCGGGTGCGGACACGTGGCGCCTGTCGCCACGCGTTATGATTAGGCTCCGTAGTTCCCAGGGTTCGGCGGTGTCCGTGTCGTCTGCAGTTTCTGCACGGCGTGCGGGGCCAATACGGGGCGATGGAATTCCATGGTACCACCGTGAGTTGGTGGTACGAGAGGAGGAGACGGAAGGGGGGGAAATTGGTAGTGATGACGACGAAGCCGGGGGATATGAATTATTGTATGTTATACGTAGTGGGGTAATCGGGGCACCTTAGATCACTGGTTACGGCTCAACGAAACTCTCTGGGACACAATCGATTCTCGGTTAAGCAGGCAAATTTTGGGCGCCTCTGCCTAAGATATTCTCTTACCCAAGGTTCGAAGTACTTTGAGGCGTCTGTGTACGTCATCTTGTCATTGCGGCGTAGTCGGCGCCTTCCGCACGTATCTAAGGGGATTTCCCGATATGGTATCGGAAATTCCTACAACATAGGTGCGTGAGAGAAGGAAAATTTCCCCGCCTACCGGAGTCGCCCGGTCCGTTAATGATTGTGAACCGCTGCGTGTGGATACGTGTAGGCTGCGCAAATTAGATCGCGCTTACACGTACCCCTGCGGGGCGATTCGCTTATACCCGAAAAAGGTGAGATTTTAACTCTTCATGCAAAATCACCACGTGTCATGGACGGCTACCTAATCATCTAATCACTCATTGATCTCACAAACAATCGTTTCCGAGCATGCAAGGTGCCGTTACACATTAAACATCACAACAACATAAGATCTTCCTACTAAGAGCAGATCAAAGTGACACACAATGATGATAGCTAGGCAAAAACGACAAACATATCATTCATTCATCGCAAAACAACATCCATGCAATCAAGCACTCAATAGGAAGGATAACAACTAATTGCAGGTAGACACAGGCCAAAGCCGAGACAAAGATTCCGAAAGCAAAAGAAAACGGGCGAGTCGCCCTGAGCCGAGATCAAAATTTATATACAAAAGTAAAGAGGGAGACAAGACAAAGAAAACTGCAAATCCACGTCCATCAAACTCAGCTCCCTCTTCCTCTCTCTTTCTCTCCGATGCTGACAGTCCGTCGTCGCGCACCAACCCACGAAGTCATCACCCCGCTTAGTCCTCCTACACCCGTCCGGTTCGCCTGTGCGCTACAGTCCATCGTAGCCCCACGCGTCAACCCTGCACATTCGACACCAGCTCGTCGAGTCGCCCCACTCCCATTCCAACTCACCTCTTACTTCGCTCGTGAGCCGACCCTCACTGATCCCGCTACCCCGAGCTTCCAATAACTGGTTAAGAGAGCTATCTNTTTTTTTTTTTTTTTTTTTTTTCTTAACACGAAACCCTAACTATGATGTGCTGTGATGTGAATGGTGTGAATGGTCTTTATCAATCAAAACAATATGAGGGATATGATATGTATGTAATCGGGGGCATTGATTACTTCCCCACACAAGGGAAGGATTGACCACCCGCAATGTATCCTAACCAGCCCCCCTCAGCACTCGATTGTTGATTGTTGATTGGTATTGCGGGCCGGGCAACACCAATCAACATCACTTGGCAACACAAACAACAACGATCATCCCATTCCTATCCTCAACCAGGCGACGAAGTTAAAAGGGGGCAGAGAGGGGGAGATGTCAGATCTCTTATCCACATCAATCCCAATCCCACTGCTACCGTGGTCATCGCTGCCTCCGTCGTCAACGCAACCGCCATCGTCACTGTTGTTGTTGATGTCATCCCCAACCCTGCTGCTGCCGCTGTCGTGACTGTTATTGTTGTTGTTGTTACTTCTGCCATGATCGTTGCCGCCACCATCGTTGTCACTACCACCATCATCATTGTTGTTGTTGTAATTGTTGTTGTTGTTGTTGTTGTTGTTGTTGTTGTTGTTGTTGTTGTTGTTGCCACCCCCAGCATCGCCGCCGTTGTTGTTGATGTTGTTGTTGTCGTCGTCATTGCTGTTGTTATTGTTGTTGTTGTTGTTGTTTGCCTTGATTGTTGTTAATCCTTGCGCTGTTGCTGCACCCTCCTCACCCTTTTCACCCTTTCCACCCTTTCCACCCTCATCCACATTGGCGTTATCATTGTTGTTGCTGTTGTTGTCGTTGTCTTCGTCGTCGTTGTCGATGTTGTTGATGTCCTTCTCGCCCTGCACACCCTTCCCGCCCTTACTGACATATTTGCCTCCCATCATCCCCATCTCAGCAACAGCCGTCAGCCCGTCGTCCTCATTGAGGGCAATATAAACCCTCTCCTCAGCATCCCGCTGAGGCTGAGGGACATCGTCAACATCAATAGATGTTGTTGTAGATGATGATATTAACATTCGTGCTGTTGTCGTCACCGGTAGTGTCACTGTTGCCTTCTGCCCCCACTCCACGTCCCACCCTCTCACTTCACCAATGCCATACTCCCACTCCCCGCGCTGATAGTCCCTTTCTGGTATGCGCTCCCCACACACCGAATTGATGACCGCGAAGTAGCCAATGACATCATCATCATCCAGCACGCCTGTTTCGCTATTGTCACCGTCTCCTTCTTCCTGCTCCTCGTCACCAATCTCGCCCTCCACGTAGACAGCAGAAAGGTTTGTGAAGTAGCTGGCCACGTCCACCTCATCATGCCCATCGTCCTCTCCATACCAGACGTCATCATTAGTATCGTAGATCTGTGTGTAGTAAAAATTATCTCCACATTGCAACTCCCCATCCACCTCCATCACGTTCCCGGAGTGCTGCGCCGCCATGTTTATCCTCGTCTTCAATCTCTGCTGGCGGAACCCCTGTCCGTGCGTCATGGACAGCCACGTCATCAACAGCAGGCACCACGTGGCCAATCAAGGAGCCACATGCGTGTGCTGGGCGCGTGCACAGGCCCAACGTTCGAGGAGCATACCTCCTCAGTCGCTGGTCGGGCCTGGGAAACCGGGCCTCGCCGGTCCACCAGCCACCCTTCCTAATCTTCCCCCCTCTTTCCCCCCGAGCCAATTTTTACAGAAGTCCTGTAGTTTTTTGTTCAATTTCTTGTTGTGTATGTGTGTATTGGATCTCGGCCTTAACCATTTCCCAGTGAGTTGTTATCTCTGTCTGGATTTGTTGCTGTATGCTTTCAGTGAATTCGGCCCCTTCCAACCTCACTCCTTCCATCTCATATGTACACCGGCGTTTCCATAGTGCCCATAGCATCGCCCTGCGTCCCATTTTAAACATATTCTGGGTGAAGACGTCCTCTGGTTCTGCATTCCATGTTTCTAGTAACAAGGCTTGCCAATTCCATGGCCAGGGCTTCGTTACTTCCAGCTGATCCCAGATCCTGTCCCACCAGCGCCAAAGCAGGACCGCTCCTGGGCACTGCAGGAAGATATGTTCTATGGTTTCCGGCCTTTTTCTGGATGGAAAGGAGTGTACACAGAGTTTACACCAAGACAAGGCCCGCCCACTTTGTTCCAGGGATGTCCTATCTATTAGCCAGTCGTTTGTTGGCAGACACCGGTGTTCGATTTGCCATTGGAGTGAGGCCAGCTTGGCTGGCTTCGTCTTGACAAGAGGAAACCATTTTACTCCCCGAAGTGATTCCTTGTTGGTGTTCAATTGCTTCATCCATCTGACCTCCACCTGGTCACGTAGATTAGACGCTGGGCGGAGTAGTCTATATGTTGATTTTTTTTTTTTTTTTTTATTTTTTTTTTAAATATCCTTGATGGGGAATAGAGGGGATGCTGATAAGAGCAGACACCCCCTCTATTCTCCCTGCTTGATAGATGGCTCCGTTCCATTGGTGGGGAGCTGCACCTGCTGGAAAACGGGTCCAGCGTCCCTTTACATCATAATTACTTAAAGCGACAAAGCTCGTGCTGGGAACCGGACCCAGCGTCCCTTCTGAACAGATATGAACAGATATGAGTAAATATGAGACCAGAAATAAAGAGGATAAAAGGGATTTGTCTCCTGTGCCTCTTCACCCTGAACGGGCGCCAGATATGCGTGACCATCTAGCACTTCCAGTTTTCCAATCCTCTGAGACTTTCCCCACTGAGAACCAAGGTCAGCGATCTTTCTGAACTGAAAATTGTGTCTCACAGCCTGAGTCTGATTCCATAGATAATTAACATTCGAGTAACGAGTTAACCTGGCCGGCGTACCCATATACCGGAAAAATCCGTGTGATTGTCTTTTCGCGTGGGCTGTGTGTGTACCAGTTATCCCCATCCCAGAGGTCGAAAAAGTTGTGGGCAAGGTCTACTAATCTGGGAACAGGGATCATTCATACCCATACCATGATCTGGGAACTAGACAAAGATTTGGTGGGGGAAAAGGATCAGGGAAGTCTGTCAGGGGCCTTAATGAGAAGACTGAGTCAACTTCAATCCAATTATTGAAGATCAAGCGACAGTTCCTTAGGGGCCCAGCCTGGTCATTTTCTTGAGCTCCCTCCCAAACCACCCTCCCTAGCCTCCCTCCCTTGTCCCCTCCAAGCCAGCTTTGGTTAAATGATGTAATATGTTGCATAATTTTTTTTTTTTGTGATAAATGTACTATTTTTCCTTTTAGTTTTTCCCATTTAGTAGTAATCTCAGTTTCTATATGTTGCTTAATAGTTTCAGTGAATTGTGGTCCATCAAGACATGCTCCTTCCATTTCAAAAGTACATCTTCGTGTCCATATTGCCCAAATAACTGCTTTCCTTCCCACTGTGAATAAGTTAGATGTGAATTCATCAATCTGGTAGGGATTCCAGGATTCCAAGAGCAACGCCTTCCAATCCCAGGGCCAGGGGGTAGATGTTCCCAAATGTCCCCAAATTCTATCCCACCAACGCCATAGCCAAACTGATACTGGGCATTGAAGGAAAATGTGCTCTAATAGTCATGCTGTGTAATTTTCTGGTGCATTTCTTTGCCCTGCCGGAGGGAGAGGTCCATTTCCACTCCATCGGGTCAAAGGGTAGCTGGGTGATTGGGGTGTTTGGGAGGAAGGCCATCCATTTATCCCTGTTTTCTATCACTCTGATACGCGAGAGTTCCTCCTTTTTAAAGAATCTTGTTTCTTGCGGCTCAGGTCGATACAATGTGTTGCCATTTCCTATTTTAAATATGTCAACAACCACCGGACCTCTTGGGCAACACACCACATTGCCAACCTCTCCCTGGCTGCTCGGGATTTGCACCCAATCAGATTCTTGCAAGAGGGGCCCTTTTCTGAGGGTTTTCCACCAACTCAGGGGGATCCTTTCTATTAGGTCCCCTAGTGCGGTTTTTGACCTATGGCTATGTCGCAATTTCCGTCGGAGCAGATCCAGGTCAATCCAATTCCTTGTGTTTGTGTCCCAGATATCCCTTATTCGGAGTATGCCCCTTCTCACCCAAACGCGTCAGGGGGAGTCCGTGCAATGAAGAACCCGTCCCCTGGTGTCCACAATTCTTCTATTATCGAAGAGGGGTTGTCGGAGTATTTCCTCCCATCTTTCTGGTTGGGTTTTGTCAAGCAGTGGGAGTTTCCTCCATGTCCTCAGAAGAGATGGCGAGAAGGGGTCATTTCGTAAATCCTCTTTTGCCTGCTCCTTTGGGGAAGTTGGGCTCGGTTGTGTGCAATGCCCTCTTGGTATTGGCCAGCCTCCATTTTCTAACCATGAGAGAGGGATAGTTTCTGGTGTGGTTTCAGGGGCTAGTCGTGCAATTTGTTCCAATGCCAGCCCTTTTCATGGGACGTCAGACCCGAAAAGCAGTCGTATGAGCCATTGTAGTGCCAAGGCATTAGATTGTGTGGCCGGGTCGATTATGCCCAGACCCCCTTTGGTTTTTGGCAGGGTTATGGATTGCCATGCAACCCTGCTGATGACCTTGTGTTTTTCGTGATCTCCTCTCCACAAAAATGCGGCAATTTGTCGTTGCAAAGAACGGCGGGCTGTTTCATCCAGGGCCCAAATAGCCAATCTGTACCACAGAGAGGCAAGCACTACATTGTTTATCACCAGGGAACGTCCCATCAATGAGGTGTGCTTGTCTTTCCATTGTAGCCGTTTTTGCAGCGGTGTTTTGAGCAGTCCATCGCTATTTTCTAATGGTCTGCCCTCTGCTGTTAGCGCAACCCCCAAGACACAGATGGGGACCTCCTTTGGTACCCATTTGACCCGCGGTTGGCCTGACTCCTTGATGGTGGATCCACCATCCCAGGGTTTTGTTTCCCCAGTTGATTCTCATGTCTGAGAGCATGCAGAATTTTTCCATCACGTGCTACACCTCGGACATCGATGCATGTGATGCATCCACCATTAGGGTTAAGTCGTCAGCAAACAGGGAGCATACCGGTATTGCTTCTTTCGGGATTGCAGTGACTTGGATTCTCTTAATATCCTTATGTAGACGTAGGTTTGTCGCCAAGGCTTCCATCATTATTACAAACAGGAAGGGTGCGATTGGGTCGCCTTGGTGGACTGACCTCTGGAGGGAGATGGGAGGTGCGAGGTTTCCGTTGACCATAACTCTGGTTGTAGCGTTTTGATGGAGAATTTTCACCCATCGCCTGAAGTGAGGTCCAAAATTTAGTTTTTCCAAACATTTGTCCAAAAAGGTCCAGTCAACATGGTCGTAGGCCTTTTCAAAATCAATGAAAATAATTGTTGCGCTGTGTTTGGATTGTCTTGCCAGTTTTATCATCTCGTTGACCAGAAGGATATTATCCTGAATGTTCCTACCCTTTATGAATCTAGTCTGATCAGGGTGGATGATATCTTTCATTACCTTATCCATGCGATTGGTCAGTGCCTTTGCCACCATTTTATAGTTTACTGTGAGGAGGGTAATGGGTCTGTAGTTCCTAATGTTTGAGCACTCTCCTTTTTTATATAATAGTGTTAAGACCCCTTGCCCTACGAGTTCTCCCATTTGTCCAGTTTCCCATAATGTTCGATAGTAATCCATTAGGTCCTGGGATATGACCCCCCACATAGATTCCCAGAATTCCTTTGGCAGGCCATCGATGCCTGGAGTCTTGTCCTCCTCCATGAGCATTAGTGCCGTCCATATCTCCTCCTTCGTAAGGGGCCCTTTCAAAACATCTCTCTGTTGGTCTATGAGTGTTTGAGTGATTGGACGTAGAAAGTCCTCGATTTCGACCTGCCTCTGTGTCGGTGGTGTGTCCGCGCACTCGGATATGAAGAGGTTTTGATAGAAGTCCCTTGCTATTTTGGTGCACTCCGCTGTTGATGTATACAGCAGTCCTTGCTGTTGGTTAGGGTCTGCCAATGCCTCTATCGTTGTCCGGTCCACTGTTGTTCTCGCCATAGCAAAAAACCTTGCGTCCATTGCACGTTCCAGTTTTTGTCGGCATGGTTTGCCACGGATCCTAATACCTTGCCATCGGTGCTCCATATGACTAGGATCCGGGTTTCTAGTGAGTGTATTTCGTTGGCCACTTCCGCCAACCGGGTATCGTCGCCCCTACTATCATCTTCTTGCTGCAAAAGTTGTTGTAATTGGTGTTGTAGGTTCAATTCCTCCTTGTGGCGCTGCGCAGCCCGGAGTTTTTAGTACTCATTGCACTTGCGGCCCAAAAATGATAGGTCGTTGTTGAACCACACTATGTCATCCTGAATCAGGTTTTTTTGTTTTTGCCAAAAGGACCAGGTCTCTTTCCAGTAGTTTTTGAAGCAGTCCAAGGATAGTAGGGATGTATTGAGTTTGTAAAAACCCCTCCCCTAGTCCGGTTTCTTCCTGAAGGAAAAAATAGCAAGGCACATTGCGTGATCAAGACCCGGGTAGGGGTTACGTGGGAAGATTTCAACCACTTGCAAGGCCCCTTGTATTTCTTATGAGATCAGGATCATATCTATTCGTGATTTAGATATATGTTCAGAATGATCCCT